TTAATTGGGGAAAAGACAGTCTCTTTAACAAATGGTGCTGGCATAACTGGATATCCATCTGCAAAAAAGTGAAACAAGATCCATACCTCACCCCATGCACAAAAACTAACTCAAAATGGATCAAAGACTTAAATGGAAAATCAAAAATGGTATAGATCATGGAAGAAAAAATAGTGACAATGCTAGGAGCCCTAATACATGACATAAACACAATACGAACCATAAATAACAATGCAAAAGTACCAGAAGAGAGACTAGATAACTGGGAGCTCCTAAAAATCAAACACTTATGCTCATCAAAAGACTTCACCAAAAGAGTAAAAAGACAAGCTACAGACTGGGAAAAAATTTCTGGCTACAACAAATTCGATCAGTGTCTAATCTCTAAAATCTACAAAATATTGCAAAACCGCAACAACAAAAAGACAAATAACCCAATTAAAAAATGGGCAAAGGATATGAACAGGCACTTGCCAAAGAAGGTATTCAGGTGGCTAACAGACACTTGGAGAATTGCTCATGGTCATTAGCCATTACAGAAATGCAAATCAAAACTACAACAAGATATCATCTCACTCCAACGAGGCTAGCATTAATCCAAAAAACACAAAATAATAAACACTGGAGAGGTTGTGGAGAGACTGGAACACTTATACACTGTTGGTAGCAATGTAAAATGGTACAACCACTTTGAAAATCAATTTGGCATTTCCTTAAAAAGCTAGAAATAGAAATACCATACAATCCAGCTATCCCGCTCCTTGGAATATATCCTAGAGAAATAAGAGCCGTCACACAAATAGATATATGCACACCCATGTTCGCTGAAGCACTGACAGAAACAACAATAGCAAAAAGACAGAAACAACCTAGGTGCCCATCAGAGGATAAATGGATAAACAAATTATAGTATATCCACACAATGGAATAATACCCAACAATAAAGAACAATGACGAAGCTGTGAAACATCTTATAACATGGAGGAATCTGGAGGGCACTACGCTGAGTGAATTTATTCAGTCACCGAAGGACAAATATTGTATAAGACCACTATTATAAGAACTCAAGAAAAGGTTTAAACACAGAAGTCAACATTCTTTGATGGTTACGAGGGTGGGGAGGGAGGAGTACGGTTATCCACTAACTAGGTAGTAGACAAGTTTTATCTTAGATGAAGGGAAGGACAGCACACACTACGGGGGAAGTCAGCACAACTGGACTAAACCAAAGCCAAGAAGTTTCCTGAATACAATCAAACACTTTGAGGGACAGAGTAGCAGGGGTAAGGAGCTGGGGACCAGGCTTTTAGAGGCTTTTAGGGGACTTCTAGGTCAACTGGTGCAACAAAGCTTATTAAGAAAATGTGCTTCCTACTTCGGTGAGTGGCATCTGGGTTCTTAAAAGCTTGCAAGTGGCCATCTAAGATGCATCAATTGGTCCCAACCACCTGGAGTAAAGGAGAAGGAAGAACACCAAAGACACAAGGAATATATTAGCCCAAGAGACAG